CTTTTAGATTAGAGTTAAATTTCACGTTTCTTTCATGTTCCCGATTTTTCTGGCACCCTCGGCCTTTAGTTTACAAGTCTGAACGAGCAGGGAAAGAGTAAACACTACTAGCATTTCCACCGATCTAACATGTCAGGAAATACGTTGTGTCTTTAGATAAAGTAATTTCACGTTTCTTTCATGTTCCCGATTTTCTGGCACCCTCGGCCTTTAGTTTACAAGTCTGAACGAGCAGGGAAAGAGTAAACACTGGCATTTCCACCGATCTAACATGTCAGGAAATACGTTGTGTCTTTAGATCTGTATCTGTATCTGTATCTGTATAGCCGGTATAACCGCCTTTCGGCGTAACACACCAGCTTCGCAGGCACGCGGCGCGGCGGCAGCTGGCTATATTACACCGATCGACTTGTTACACCTAACCCTTGAACTTCTAGCTCTAGACATTGTTTAAAGCTATCTATTGACAGTGCCCCTACTGTACTTGGTGACAGTGAGTTCCACTCTGCGATAGTTCTAGGAAAGAATGAATTCTTGAACACCTCAATCCTTGGTTGATAACTCTGGTACTTGAATGCGTGGCTATTTCTTGTTCTCTTCTGAGCTGGTATTAGGTACTTAGTAGTTGGGACATCCACCAGTTTATTAGTCATTTTGTACATCATGCATAGTCTAGACATCTTTCTTCTGTCTTCAAGTGAGGTCCACTGTAGGTTTCTTTTCATTTCCGTGACACTAGCACCTCTTACATAGTTGTTCATACAGAATCTTGCAGCTTGATTCTGTACCCTTTCCAATTTGTCTTTGTCTTTCTTTGTATATGGATCCCATACTGTCGCAGCGTATTCTAGGTTCGGTCTTACAAGTGACGTGTATGCAAGTGATTTTACTCTCGTTGGACATGCCCACAGATTACGTTTAATCACTCCCAATGTCTGTTTCGCCTTAGTTGTGATATTATTAACAGATAGAGTAATTTCACGTTTCTTTCATGTTCCCGATTTTCTGGCACCCTCGGCCTTTAGTTTACAAGTCTGAACGAGCAGGGAAAGAGTAAACACTACTAGCATTTCCACCAATCTAACATGTCAGGAAATACGTTGTGTCTTAAGATAGAGTAATTTCACGTTTCTTTCATGTTCCCGATTTTCTGGCACCCTCGGCCTTTAGTTTACAAGTCTGAACGAGCAGGGAAAGAGTAAACACTGGCATTTCGCCAATCTATAAACATGTCAGGAAATACGTTGTGTCTTTAGATAGAGTAATTTCACGTTTCTTTTGTGTTCCCGATTTTCTGGCACCCTCGGCCTTTAGTTTACAAGTCTGAACGAGCAGGGAAAGAGTAAACACTAGCATTTCCACCGATCTAACATGTCAGGAAATACGTTGTGTCTTTAGATAGAGTAATTTCACGTTTCTTTTGTGTTCCCGATTTTCTGGCACCCTCGGCCTTTAGTTTACAAGTCTGAACGAGCAGGGAAAGAGTAAACACTGGCATTTCGCCAATCTATAAACATGTCAGGAAATACGTTGTGTCTTTAGATAGAGTAATTTCACGTTTCTTTTGTGTTCCCGATTTTCTGGCACCCTCGGCCTTTAGTTTACAAGTCTGAACGAGCAGGGAAAGAGTAAACACTAGCATTTCCACCAATCTAGCATGTCAGGAAATAAATTAGAAGAATTTCTTGTTCCTATTGCCAAAGTGGAGTCGCTGTACTCTCCAAGCAGAGGTTTGGGTTTTGGCTTAATTTTTGGAGTGTTTTTAGGCTTTTTTTATCGGGGTTTCTTTCTTGCACTGGTATTTTTTTCACGTATGAGTTGGCGTAAAAAGATACCAGTGCAAAAAAACAAAGCCTGATATAAATGCCAAAAATAAGATAAAACCCAAACCTCTGCTTGGAGTGTAGAGTTGCAAGTTGTCGAGCGTAAAATCGCAATACGTTTATCCTTTAATTATCACTTGGTATGATGTGATTAAGGAAGTGTTAAAAGGGATCCCGTAATTTGAACATAAGCATGACATCCGCTCTTCCAATTCAGCCAATGTGTCAACCATGCAAAGCAGGCTAACACTGAAATTTAGAAATACCTTGAATCCACTTCAGAAGACTTGTTTTTAAAAACAGTACATGTACTTAAAATTCGCAAGATTTATCATAATCCATTTCGGGTTCAATAATAATCTGAGTATTTCTCTTATGGGAGAACAAGATAAAAAATCGGACATAATATTAAAACAACGTGCCTGCTACAAACTTAGTTTAGTCAATATGTAATGTATATTAACCCTCTGGACGTAGAAATGCGACAGACGGACAATCAGTACCACGGACGTGCCGAATAATACAGTATTGTCTTCAAAACTCCTGAGTCATAGACTGTTGCATCTCATGTGTACGCTGTGATATGTTTCTGTTTGTTCCGACAGACGGACATGGCACATCACCACACATTCCCACATATAACGGTCGGTCCCCGGGGACTACTTAGCCACATTCAGCAATTACACCGATCTGTCCCCGGCCTATTCAGCCGGGAGAAAAGTGGGCTCATTATTGGTTAATTGGTCCATTCGGGGCGCCAAGAACCCGCAGTTTTTTACATGAATGCAAAGCTGTCCTGAAAAGTAGCTCTGGGGCTGGGTGAACTCATCAACTCACTCTGGGAACGACGGGGGACCGTGGGAACGACCATGAGCATTACGTCATCTCAAATCCATCAAAGACAACACTGGCGTAACATCGAAAACGTAATTGAAAATTGACATGAAACGAATAATTGCATGCCTATCAACCAAGGAATTCTGAAAATTGAATTTACGGATGCGTTGAATCATTCCTGGTGATTTAGCGAAACTTGCAAAATTATTAACCCTCTATATCATGGAGGTAAAAAATTACTTTTTTTTTACCTCTATGTCTATATGGACCCCGTACCAGTTACGAAATAATCATACTCTTAATAGTTAATAGTTTTATCATACATTATATTAAATACTTGATAATACTACAAAGAGCTAAGAAAGTCAGAGTTCAAGTACATGTTACAGTACAACTGTACTGTTGATATGAAAAAACAAAATTGGCTTGGCTTCTTCCGTATACGTACGTATATTTTTTCTTGAAACGTTGTTATCATCGTTATTTTATAGCATCATAAATGGGCAATGTGAAATGAACTGTACTGAACATGATTTCATGAGTATCCAAGAACATGATGTTTCTGTTTTTTACTTGCCACAAACTGTTTATAAACATACTTCAATACGGCTGTCCGGATGACCATCAACATTTTCTATAACCTTAGGCCATGTTGATTTGATTATATGGATGACATCCTCTGGGAACCCCAAAACTGATGCGAGCGTGCGAATAAAAAAAAGGTTTGGTAAAAGAAAATCTTGCTTTCATTATGAAATCTGAGTGGTTTTGAAGGTTGAACAAATGACGCAGAATATAGTTTGGCGAATAATCTAGTCTTCAAATTCATTTCTTAACATTTTCGTCTTTTACGTCTGATTTTGTAAAGTAAAGTAAAGTAAAGTACGTCTGATTTTGGACATATTGGTATATCTGCGACATATTGGTATCGTTTTCCAATGTTTTTTCAACCTGTATATATTTGCACATTTTGCAACTGATTTGTACGATTTACAGTATGGTTGAATTTTCTTTTTTTGAAACGGCAGAAAATTCATGCGCGCGCGGATGTCATCCATATAATCACATCAACATGGCCTTACAAACCCCAAAGTTTGTCCCGAGAGCACCGCTATTCAGCCGGTGGCATCCTTCCCTGTGTGTTAGCATGCAGCACCGCATTCGTATGTAAACGATTCAATTAAAGCGAGAAGACCGAATGTGCATGAGAATAGCGGGCCCAGTGCGGTGCATCTGGGAACAATGGGTCCTGTGTGGGAACGGGGCAGGATGGAGAGAGACACGCATGGCGGGATTTATCAACGCAAAATATGGGATTGCGTCATTCCGGGGCGGTACGATGTGTAAAGACTGGGAGACAAGATTTTGGGGTGGTGCCTCCATACGAGAAGTAGCCTCTAACAGGCTTTAGAAACGGCTGGAAAGAGTAGCCTCCACCAGGCTTCGGGAGCGGCTGAGAAACTGGACAAATTGTCCACATGCAATTTTTTTAGTCATTTAATCAAACATATTGCTCAGACCCATTCATTACTGTAGTTACTGCATTACTGTATCAAGTTTTGTGAAGATCTAAATTTCATCTTTGGGAAATTACTTTTAAACCGGCCGTTTTTTTTTTTTTTTTTTTTTTTTTTGTTTTTGGTTTTGCCCTGGGTAAGAATAATAAGGAAGTGCTTCCACTGTGACCTTCCCAGCAGATTGAATAGTAGTAGTGAATTGGCGCATTATTCTAGCATGCAAAAACTCCCCTATTGTCACTGGCCAAATTAAGGAGCTTTATATCATTTAAAACTCAATGGCCAAATAGACGAAAGATGGTTTCGGTCAGCAAATTAAAGTGGGCCAGATGTAGAAGTCATCAAATTTAAGAATGCATTGAAAAACAACACTCTTAATATTCAGAAGGCGAATCAAGTGCTGACATAACATAAGCTACGTTTAACTATTTCCTCCACTGGAAAATACTTGGCATATTTTCAATCATGTGCCGAACGCATGAACTATCAACAGGCACTTCAACTTTTGGGCGAAGCCTGTTATAATAGTACGGTTTACTTTCTCAAGCAGATATCACGATGGAAACTCGTCACAAGTTGTTACTTGGGTACATAATTGTTTCTGCTGAAGACATACGGGTCCCCATCCCAAATATTGTAGAACCAATGACCTCCATTTTTTCTGCAAAACTGAATAACGTTAATTAGGCTAAGGGTACCAACTTTCCGCATTAACATAAATTCCGTCGTGACTTATATAAGGCGTTATTATGAGGCTTTATTAAATCATCATCATGACAACCTTGTTTTTTAGTTTAATACATCGTCTCTTCCATCGACCTTACACACAACCTCCGCCATTTTCCATCTGTAACCAATAAGCTGTTACCTTCCGACACTATACTTATAATAAAATCTAGTATAAAGGTCGAAGGTCAGAGGGCACGACCGTAGATTTCTTCTACGTGAGGAAGGTACACGGTATGTTTTGTAACATCTCAAACTTGTATAACCGCTTATATAACACAGTTTAGCTACTGGCTATTTGCGCTTTTGGATGTTCTAAACTTATCCTTGTTGCATATTTATTTCGCTTCACTGTGTTTTTTTCTGTTTTCCATACAGTTTACGGATAAAGTTTTGCTCCTTTCCTTCGCTAACCGAGCCTGGCTAACCCCCCTCCCACCCAACTCTCATTCAAACGCACGTTTAAACGCTCTGAGCTGTTTTTCTGACACTTTGTTTCCTGAACTTGATGTTTTCTAGATCCTTACTCTGCTCCTTACTGACTGAAATACGTCGGCCTTCCTTCTTCCTCTACCCGGCCGCTAAGATGGCGAACACCGTGGACCCAAATGGCATCAACGTAGCAGCCATGCGCAAGGCATATAAGGTTTGCTGTCTTCTTTTCCTTTAAAGGCATGCGGTTTCAGGGCAACAAAACTGGAAATACACATGTATTCTGAATAACGCAATCTTTGTGATATTGACACATACTGTCCTATATAATATTAGCACATTTGAATCAGTATTTGATACTTTAGGCATTTAAAATTGCAGAAACAAGCCCCAAGATGAGTCCTTTAAATTCTTGGTGGTACTGTATCCTAAAAAATCAGCCCAGGTCCTTCCAGTAACCGTTTTACGTCAGAATTTTTGACATTTTTGCTCCATGAATGTCGACATACATTGGAACAGTGTTGTGTCAACTTAGTATGTAGATAAGTGACTAGAATATTGTCTTAAAAAGATCTGGTTTCCAAGCCCTAAATGCTGATTTATGTAGCCTCTACCAGGCCTCGGGAGACGGCTGGAAAGAAAATTGGCCAAATAGAGAGAAAGTATAATTTGCCATGCCCAAACTGTACTTTCTAGCGTACCAACCCCCTCAGCATATTATCTCTCTGGCCAAAATAACTCTTTCCTTCCACCTCCGGAAGCCTGGTAGAGGGTAGATTTTATGTGCAAGTTAATCGAAAGACTTAATTATACCCTTTATTTGTTATGTCATTTCTGCAAAACGTACAGCTTTTTGCAAACTGTTAAGCTTAATTAGGTTAAACTTCAAGCAAAATACAATTTGATAAAAGTTGGCATCCTCCATTTTGACATTTTGTCCACATGATGTAGCTATTATCCCTACTTTCCTTTATACCTCACTTGAAAATTTCTGCAAAGATTATGATAAAAAAATCACTATATGTTCTATTTGCCATTTCTTACCTTCTGTAAAAGTATAACACTATAAGACTATATCAATGAAATGGCTAGCCTGGTATCGTGGTTGGGGCAGGCTTTCTTTGGGATTCTAATAGTTTTCCCCCATCCAGCTCAACAGACCATCCGGTAAGAGTGTTGCACCTGTAGGAGTTTTGCACGCCAGGAGTTAATTAGCGCCACCGCAATATCGTGTTAGGGCTAATTTAACTCCTGTCATGCAAAACCTACCGGGGAAACCTAGCTGAGTCGTGTGGGAAAGAGCTCCTGCAGCCCCGAAGAAAACCCGCCCAACCACGATAGACTGAACACCAGGCTATGAAATGCAGGGCTCGAAATTAAAGGTGGTTCGATGGCCACTCACCACTAAAATTTAGGCTGGGACAGCTAAAAAGACACTTTTCTGGGACAATAGAAAAATAATCAACATCAGAATGTCAGCTCTTCTTTTGTTTATCAGGCACACGCTCTGGCTTTTGGATCTGGAAAAATACCCCCAAATTTCCTGTCTTCTCTGCTATTATAGTGTGATTGGGAGTGAACATAAGCAAAATAAAGTTGACTTCATGTTGAAGTCATACAATACTTCCCACAAAACAGGTTGGGACAGTTCATCCTCAATTCAGTACAATTGAAATTTATTTTTGGGACAGTGCTGGGACAATAGGAAGAAAGATTACTTTCGAGGCCTGAAACGGCCATTTGAAGAGATTTTTTTTACAAAATTGTTCTTCCAGGGCGGTGAGGAAGTTTACACAGAAGACCAGCTGGTGTCCCGGGATCCAATTGTGCAGTTTGCAGCCTGGTTTGAAGAAGCCACCAAACATCCTAACGTCGGAGAGGCCAATGCCATGTGCCTGGCTACCAGCACACCGTCAGTAGAAACTCTTGTATTGCAGTAATGAATTTGGCATGTAGTGGATAGGCTAGCAAACATGAAATCAAGAGGTAGTGCTGTGTACCGGTTTGGTGGACCAGTTCCGGACTTGTAAAAATGTTTTGGTTCAAGTCCAAAAAGCCAAGAACTGATTCCGGGCTTATTAAAAAAAAACATGTCACCCTTTTCTTTCCAAACCACCTAAAACCTTCCATAGATTGCAAAATCTGAGCTGCAAAATGAAGAAAACATTGCCATCGGGCATTGTCAAGTGTCAGCCTCCATGTTAATATGTAGCCAAAGTTTTGACCAAACAACATATTGCAAGGTTGCCAACATGCAATTAAACTAGTTTTGTATTTGGAGTTTGTATGTATAAGCTTTTTTGTTTAATCTCCAAGCAGATCTTTTAGTGGGGGAAGACAGTATCAAATTGGCCAGCCTGTATCTATTTGCCAGACATTATCCATTTCCCAACCAGAGGCTTCGGTGGGGAAATGGATACAGGCTGGCCAATTTGATACTGTCTTCACCCCACTGAAAGATCTGCTTGGAGATAAATTTTGTTGTGAGCTGGAAATTTGGAGTTTAGGTTGCTCCCCTTGAGACATCTTGACATGTGGAAGATTCCTCAACATGTTTAAAAAGCTTTATTTACTTAATTAAATAGTAGTGCGCCAAGCCCATAGCCAGGGGGTTTGGACGAACTCCCCAGGTACAAGGCTCAAAGGTCCACATTTTGGTCCACTTTTTATCTAAAGGCAGTGTACATAATACTTTTTTGAACCAGGTTGCCCAGTGGGCAACCTACGGCAAAAATTAGGTTGCCCATCAGAATTTCAGGTTACCCCACCTATAAGTTACTACTTTCCTCAAATTAAGTAATGTTACATACATAAGCCTTTGACAACATTTCTAACAGCCCTTAGTAACCTAATACTAGTAATAACCATTAATACCTAAAATTATAAAGCATCTGCTGGATACAGTGGTGCAATCCAAGTGGGCATGATTTTGAGGGGGGGGGGGACATTCTTAAAATTCAGGTACCACACTGGGCTACCTGGGTTGAAAAATAGGTTGCCCCAAGTAAAATTTGGGGCAACCAGGTATTTTGCACGCTGTAAAGGTCCAAGATTTTTCTTTAAAAGATGGACTGATTGGTGTCACCAGCGAGGCTGGAATCGTAGGAAAACTGCTCACTTTGTCATTTAAAAAAGTTACCTCTGATTTTTTTTCTTTGAAATCCTCCACAAAAACGAAGGAAATGCCATTTCAGAAGGTTCACTCTTCAAAATTTTCAAGATACCCCCGGACCCCCTTAGGAACCTCACGCCTTCGGCACTCGCCTTGCGCCTATGGCGTTCGCTGTTCCCTCAAGCAGTGGGAAGAACCCCCCATTCAAAATCCTGGCTACGGGCATGTGTGCTCTATCCACCAATGTGTTGTTCTGTTGTTATCCCAGGGAAGGACGTCCCTCTGCACGTATGGTGCTCCTGAAGGGTTACAGCAGTGAGGGCTTCAGATTCTTCACCAACTTTGACAGCAGGAAGGGGAAGGAACTGGTGAGTACTAGCAGTACCTGTTCCTGTTCAAATTGTTCAAATATGACACAAATATTATCATATTACAAAATTACTATCGGTTCCCAATATTTTTTTGCAATTTACATCATATATATGCTCATTTTTGCAGTTGCTTTGTACGATTTAAAGTATGAATGAAAACTTTTTTTTTTGAGACAGACAAAAAATTCACATGTTCCTGGATGTCCTCCATCAAATCAACATGGCCTTAGACAATATGGCTTGTCCAAGTATTGTTTGTACTTTGTATTACAAGGATAATTAATATGCTGTCATTTTTCTTCCCATCCAGGCTGCCAACCCTTTTGCTGCACTGTGCTTCCACTGGGAACCACTCAATAGATCAGTAAGTCAGGTTTTGATACTGTATCTCAGAGAAATATCTAAGGTTCTATTATAGAACCTTAGATAACTTCTATTAGTGCTGTGCACCGGTTTGCTGGACTGGTAGGTTCAAGTCCAAAGAAACCTAAAAGTCAAGAACCGATTCCGGACTTACATATTACAAAAAAAAAAACATGTCACATACTAGTACCCCTTTTCTTTCCAAACCACCCAAAACCTTCCATAGAGTGCAAAATCTGTGCTGCAAAATGAAGAAAACATTGCCATCGGGCATCGTCAAGTGTCGGTCTCCATGTTTTGTGGCCAAAGTTTTGCCCGGATTCAAGCCCCCAGGTTTAGGTCCGGACTCGAACGTAAACCTGGGGGCTTGAATCCGGACCTGGACCTACATGTAAGTGTGGGTTTAGGTACACAGCACTAGGTTCTATCAATCTATGTACGAGAGTGAATAAGTCAGAGTGAAACATGGGTTGGACTTATATAAATTTGAAACAAAAGACTGTTTGAATCTAGAAAGTGATTTAGTCAGAAGTGAATGATGTGCACATGTACAGTAGTGAGCCTTCTATATCTACACATCTACAGGGCTCGAAATTAACAGTGTCCTGATGGCCACTGACCACTAAAATTTAGGACGGGACAGCTAAAAAGTCACTTTGGGACATTTTTTGGACAATAGAATAATAATCAAGATCAGAATGTCAGCCACTTTTTTATTGATCAGGCACGCATCCTGGCTTTTGGCTCCAGAAAAGCCCTCAGAAGTTCTTGTCCACTCTGCAATTATTGTATGCCTGGAAGGCTCAACGTAAGCAAAATAAAGTTGACTTCAACTTTTTGTCATAAATACTTCTCAAAAAACAGGTTGGGACAGTTCATCCTCACTTCGGGACAATTGAAATTTATTTTCGGGACAATGCTGGGACAATAGAGAAAAAGTTAATTTCTATCTTGTTCTTTAACCTTGACACCCAAATTTGTAATTGGTTATGGAATTAAGCAGCAGGTAGAAGGTTAATAATCACCTTGTTTTGTTGTTCCCCAGGTAAGGATAGAGGGTCCAGTGGAGCGGTTGACTGACGAGCAGTCCACGGAGTACTTCCACTCTCGTCCCCGGGGCAGTCAGATAGGTGCCACAGTCAGCCACCAGAGCACCGTCATAGAGGGCAGACATGTAGGTCTTCAAACTTGTCTTGAAGAAGTAACTTCTCAAGTTGTAATGTATCTTGGCTATGGAGTTAGCCAGATTATGAATAGTTTAACTGTCACAATGCTCAATGTCTGTTCAAGCAACATCATCTAAGCATTTGCTTTTCATCGAGAGAGGCCACACCAATTTAGTTTGTTGGTTCTCAGATTTTTTTAGAGAATATATCAAGCGACAGGGCCAAAAAAAAATAAAAACAGGTCCAGGTATTCTGTTATACCTCCAAATGCTACAATAGGAGCCATGAAGTCAACACAAAAGGCTGGGTTAATATTTAAACAATGAAGTTTGAACTTGTAATTAAACCACTGCATTGATAGATGGAAAAAGCTGTAACAAGTAGGAAGAAAAGGACTTTCCTAAACAAATGGGGCAAAATATGAGCATTTTTGAGTTGATTCGGAACCAGAATCTTTCTTTTTTTGCAAATCAGAAAAAAAAGAAGAGGCAAATCCGAGAACCATCGAATTAAATTGGTGTCAGTTTCTTTTTTTCAAGATAAGTACTGTAATTTCATATGTACATAGGTATAATACTACAGAGGTGTTGTCCAAAAGTTATGAGGGTTCAGATATTCCTGTACACACTTCATTTACAGAACCAAATGTAGACTTAGGAATTAAGATAAATGTAGGCTGTGTTATTTGATTGTTCATTTGTTTCATTAGGTTCTGGACCAACGTGAGAAAGAGCTGAAAGAAAAGTATGCTGATGAGTCCGTGGAAATCCCTAAACCTGACTACTGGTGAGAAACACCCTCATGTTTTATTTGATTTTGCCGAATCACTCAGTATCTGTATAGCAGGCGTAACTGCCATTCAGCTTCGCTGGCACACAGCATGGCATTAGCTAGTTATATTACACTGAATGACAACACATGTCACACCTAACTGCTGCACATCTAACTGCAATCATTGGGTAAAGCCATCTGCAGAGAATAGCCTTAAAGTGCTTGGTGCCAATGAGTTACACTCTACAATAGTTCTAGGTAAAAACAAGTTTTTGAGCACCTCAATCTTGGGCTGATGACTCTAGGCAAGAATCCAAAATATCAACACATTTTTTTATTCATTTATTTTTATTTATTTGCTGCGGCACAGAATTAATGTGTTAAAATTGCAAGGATTATTAGAACATTACTCAAACATTGCCTTTTCCATCATTTGCCTTTTCTTCAGGGGGGGATTCTGTCTCGTCCCAGAGGTCATAGAATTTTGGCAAGGTCAAACGACACGGATCCACGACCGAATCGCGTTCCGACGCCTGCGTGACGGCGAGACACCGGACGAGAAATGTACCCACACCGGGGAGAACGGATGGGTGTATGAACGACTGTCTCCATAGTGACTGTTTCCATGGCAATCTTCTAACAGGTAGATGACTCGAGGAGGCGTTTGCAAAATAACCTCCTTGGATGACTTTAGATTAAAAGTTTCTTTCATTACAACTTGTACCCAATAGAAATATATTTCTCTAGTAGAGGTTTAATTTTGTGATGATCAAACCCAAGAGAAGTATTTCTGTATAAGTGAATTCGTTTTTGGTGAAATTTTCCACTACCATGAGGAAAGACAACATACCTATAACTCCATGATAGCAAAAATTTATTAGTCTGTTGTGGTATTTCTAAGGAGTCAGTGTTGCACTGCCCTGAACAGGTAAAATCACAAGTGCATGCAGCAGCAAGAAGTTAATTTTAACTTGATCTATTTCTTTGCAATAAGGCCACACCAATTTAATTTCTTGGTTAACAAATTTTTCTAGAAAAATAATGGAGCGGGCAGGCGAAAAAAAATAAAAAATAAAAACAGGCCTAGGCATCCTATTATGGCCCAAAATGGGACGATAGGTCAACACACCAGGCTGGTTCAAAATTTAAACAATGAATTTTGAACTTTTAATGATACCATTAGATTGAAAGACGGAATAACTAACAACTAGGATGAAAAGGACTGTTTTCAACTGTTCAGGGCAAAATATGAGCATTTTGCAGTTGATTCTGAATTTTTATTTTTATTTGCAAATCAGAAAAAAATAAGCGGGCAAATCCGTTAACCAAGAAATTAAATTGGTGTGGCCTAAGTTCAGTATGACAGAAAGTAAGCCATCATACCAAATAACTGGTACCTAGTTATGTTCCTATGTAAAATAAATCGATTGTACATTGCAGGATGTTCAGAAATATACTGTTACAGACTATAACAATCTTAAACGTTCGTCAATGAAGGTTAGACAACCAGGTAATACGATACGCCAAAAAGCAGTTACTCAAGGAACTGGATATGATTTTGGAATCGGTCAGATGTTTCAGCTAGTATCCACTAGCTTTCCTCAGTCAGATACTATAGCTGAAACGTCTGACTGGTTCCAAAATCACATCCAGTTGCTTGAGTAACTTCTTTTTGGCGAATCTTGAACATTGCTATCTCAACCTTTACTTGAAATTTTGCAATGGTGAAATATTTCCTTTTTCATATAATCAGCTTTACAAAGAGTTAAATTTTTCTCAGGACTATGAATATAGTATGATCATTAACAAATAAACTGTATCTTGTGTCTTCACAAAATTTACCTATAAGATCATACAAACTTTAGCTATAAAATCACAGATTACTAGATGCAGTATGAATTTTTATCAAATGGTGGCTGTTGGACGTTTCTTGTAGCGTATGATGGCTTGTGACGGGGTGTGGATCATAGTTTCAACATTGACCGCCGGGAAGTGTCCATCGACCAGCTCAAACTCAAACTCTCGGAGCAGCACAGCCCAAATGGTCTTGATCTGGACGTACGCAAAGTTCTCACCAATACAGCGGTGGCGGCCTGGAGAAACAAGCGACAACGTTTCAGATACAATCCTCATATAACAGGGCTCTAGCCAGCACCAGTTTTTCCGTCAAATGCAGGAACTGTGTGGCATGTGACAGAAAAAGTTTTAAACCAATCTGTCACATTTGATGGACAAAATTGACAAAAATCTTGGGTAAAACAACAACCCCTCTCAACCCCATGATTTGCCCCTTAAAATGCTGGAAATTGCATTTTTAAAGGCTTGAAATTTAAAAATTTTTCCCTGGACCCCCCTAGATTGTGAGCACTCTCCCCCCCCCCAGGTCCTATCATGAACCTGGGGTGATGGAAAAAGATTTCAAGCTGGCTACAGCCCTGCCACATATAGTCTGTCAAATAGCAAAAATCACTATGCCATATACATGTACTGTGTCAACAGCTAAGCTATTGACAGATTTTTGTATCTCAGACATGTCTACCAGCCGTATTACTGGTATCTAATACATTGTCTACATAAAATATTAGGCCTCTCAGGACTAGGATTCATTTTCCTTAAATATATAGTATAAAGAAGTAAAACAGTATGCTTGATTTGAAAACTGCTCTCTAAGTGTGATGAATAGGCAATAGTAGCATCCAGTGTGGCTGCCAGTCTTATATCTTCACACAATAGGATATCAGATACTAGTGAGTGTGTATCAACTTACCTGCACCAAATGGCACATAGGAGAACTTTCCAGTGCTGGCATTCCCTTCCAGAAACCTATGATCAAATGACATATTTTAGGACACAATCTCAAAAGAACTTTCATGGGAATTCATCACAGTTACCATGCAAAATTTAAGGGTGTTAATTCTCTGATCTATGCAACAACTCGCAAATAATAGCAGACTAGACCTAGACTAGAAGATAATGATTAGATAGCTTTTTAGGTCAGCCATGATTTACACAAAATACAAAACAAGTAAAGAAATTTATCTAGGAAGTTTGAAAGTGATACTGGGTACTAGGAATTTATGCTAGTAGTCTACATCTACATTGTATGTTAGCAGAACGTACTGCACCTGTACGAAGCCTGTAATGTATTGTGCATACCGCTTCAGCAGAAATTTCTCATATAACATTGTATTCGCACATATAAGGGTAACATCCCATCTGTAGTTTCAAAAAGTTAGAAAAGATATCGTCTGCAACAGGCAAAATTCTGATGCAATATTGACCAAACATCCAACAAAAACCATGCAAAATCAGGTGCAGTACTTTCTACTGACGTGCCACATTTTTGCAGGCAGCTGACCTGTTGGGGTCCCAAGTATCTGCATCCTTCCAGGTGTCCTGTAGTTTCTGGTTGACTGTTGGAGACACGCAGACCTGGTGACCCACTGGGATGGTGTAACCGTTGACGACCTGAGGGGTCTTACACATGCGCATCATGGTCATGATGGGAGGGCGCAGACGCAGGGTTTCAGCCAGGCACTTGTCTAACAGGTTCATGTCTTTCAGCTGTAGGAGAGGAGAAAATGAGTTCTGCATGTGTATAACCGGTATAACCAACCCTCAGCGTAACACACCAGCTTTGCAGGCATGCGGTGTGGTGACAGCTAGCTATATGACATCTAACAACTTCTTACACTTAGCCTTTGAACATCTAAACCTTCAAAAATACCTGCCCCGGACAAATTTTCACCCACACCATGTATGGATCATACTAAAAACTGTTCAGAACCTATTATCATTATTTCTTTAATACTTCATAGGTGGTAAAACAGTCAATGCAGCAAAAGAAGTCCACATACACCTACATGTGCATGTATATGTAAACCCAGTAGATGGACCAGTGCAGGTTATTAGGTGCAAGTGGTCATCAGAAATACCTGCACAGCTCCAATTTTACATGCACTAAGGTGTATATGCACCCAGTATTTCAAGCCCTGTATGGTGCACCCATTCAAAAACCAGGTGCATAAAAATGAAGTGTCTAGTATATATTTACATGATCATAGTTGAGAGGTGGTAGGTCCTCCCCACACACGTCCAGTTGTTCCCTGTAGGCCCTGGCCTGGACGTCCGTGTGTTTGGCCAGGAAGAAGCCCATCCATGTGCTGGTGGTGGAGGAGGTGTGCTGACCGGCCATCAGCAGTCCTATCATCATCCCTGTTATCTCATCATCTGTCAGTGGCCGACCATCCCTGAAACAGTCAGGCAAACACAGGGTTGTAGGCTAACATACTGAGGTCTTAGTAAAACATTGAACTTTATTCCAACACAAGGGTTACAGAGCGATCAAATTTTCGACGACCACTGTCGCCTTCATCAGGATAATTAATGACCAATCACTTCACAACGTGATCTCGCGAGAGTTACGGTTTACAAACACGTGACCTTATTGACACAAGACTTTACTGATACGTGACGTAAGCAATTGATCAAAAGTGCCAGAGAGTTTATATCATCCACCATCTCTATTAAGTGAAGGCTGATTTTGATTTACTATGATTACTACCAACACAGATTAACTTTCATGGTGTACTGAGGTCTTGTCAAATTCCTCAACATATTGTATGATCATCTTGGTACATGTATTATCTTTTTTGTGTAAAACTTAGCCTTTTCACTTAAAGTATTACCCAACAATTTTCGCAGAAGCTATTCATACAATCCAAATGTACAACCCCTTAAACCTTTCTTGACTATAGTATAGCACATCGGCAGAACGTACTGCGCTTGCGCAGAACCCCGTGTTTTCGCGTTTTCGTTGGGTTTTTGGTCAACGTTGCATCAGAATTTTGCCTGTTGCAGAGGATATTCTTTCGGACACAACATTTTGAAACTACTGTCGAAATGCTAACCTTATATGAGCGAATACAACCTTATATGAGCAGACATTCTACCGAAATGCTATGTGCAATACATTACGGGTTTTGTGCAGGTGCAGTACGTTCTAACGACGTGCTCTATACTACTAGACTATAGTATAAGCCACCATAATCAGCCTTCTCCCTACTGCCCAACCCTAAACCCATCAGCAATACATGTGCCAGATGACTACTGTAGCAGGTTAAAGCAAGACCTCCTTGGTACAAGTACAACTAGCCATGCCTAGAGTATAGCTAGCTAGACAGCAGTGTCTGTGGTGGAGATACCATGTAACGAGAGATTCTATGGTCTTACTTGTAGGTGGATTCCATAAGGGTCTGCAACATATCATCATCAGAATCTCCTGACTCCCTTCTTTGCTGGATAATCTGTAGCATTAAGTTTTTAGTTTAGTTTTTAGAAGCTGAAGTCAATAATGAATTGTACTGAGAAATGAAGGAGAAAAAACAAACAGTTCTGGGGTGATAAAAAAAGGAGGTACCTTTTTGAAGACTTTCTTCATTTCCCTGTTGGCCCTGTCTCTCTTCCTGTGGAACAGTGTAATTCACTATCAGAGTTTCTTCTTTTTGCAGTCGTGACAATGAAGATCAAGATTTAAATTTTACTTTTTAGAACATTTTCTTTGTATATAGCTTGTACATATCAGCAACTTTTGCAGTAGCCTCTACCAGGCATAAATGGAAAGAGTAGAAATTTGCCAAACACACAGATAATGTCATGCCAGAGGAGTTGGTCTGCTAAAGTACAGTTCGGAAGATGCAAACTGTACTCCTTTATAGTGGACAAACTCTCCTAGCATTTTATCTGTCTATTTGGCCAATTTCTACTCCTTCCAGCCACTTCCAAAGCCAGAGGCTACTCTTCAAGCACAAAATCAAGCATGCATGGACAAAAACCAAGATCACTTAATACGTTGGTGAAGGTTACTCATCCAGGAATACGATAAATAGATGAAGTTGTTTAGTCATTTCACACTGGATTATTGAATTTTTAATGTGTAGACGTTTCAGCTAGTATCCACTAGCTTTCATCAGTACAAAGTGAGGACATTTCCGGTACAAGTTCTAAATAAACAAAAACAATCCATGTTCTAAAGTAAGTTCTAAAAAAACAAAAAGTAACTGACACGTTCTAAGAAACAATCTAAGGTAAACTAAATAAACAAAAGTTAAATACCAAAACATATACAAAAAAGGGGAGGACAAATAACTAATAAAAAACTAAAGTAAGAAAAATAACTAACAAAAAAATATCTGTACTTGTACCAGAAATGTCCTCACTTTGTACTGATGAAAGCTAGTGGATACTAGCTGAAACGTCTACACATTAAAAATTCAATAATCCAGTGTGAAATGACTAAACAACTTCATCTATTCAAGATCACTTAATGTTTGAATCAACGTTAACATCTACAGAGATCACCCATAGGAATCTCTCAGTATCACACATATACATACCTGAAACTGGGGAGGGGTAGCCAGCCTGGTAACAGCCATGCCATCTGGGTAAACCCCCCGTCCAGGTCAGCATACAGCTGTGCTATTCCCTCATGCAGCATGGAACGCACCTCCTTCCCTATACAACACAGAAAGGACACAGCTTGATAGACATTCTTTTACTTATGTTAAAGTCAGTCAAACTATCATCAGTTGAACAGTTGAAAACAGTCCTTTTCTTCCTAGTTGTTACAGTTATTCCATCTTTCAATGCAATGGTATCATTAAAAGTTCAAAATTCATTGTTTAAATTTTGTACCAGCCTGGTGTGTTGACTTCATGGCTCCTATCATACCATTTTGGGCCATAATAGGATGCCTAGGCCTGTTTTTATTTTTTTTATTTTTTTCGCCCTCCCGCTCCTTTATTTTTCTAGCAAAATCCGTTAACCAAGAAATTAAATTGGTGTGGCCTTAGGGTAGATTTATTTTTGCTGCTTGGTTATGGCAAGCTAAAAACAAAGCTGTTTCTGGGAGAGGCAAGTTCACAGCAGGTGCACAACACAACATACAGCTGCAGCTTACCGTGTAGACACCTGCTTGCAGTAAGGATGGTCAGCTGTGCCAGGGCCTCAAATAGATCTGTAGTGGGCAAGAGATAACTTAAATAACATCAAACATAAATGTATGAATATGGTAACTCCTTTTTTACATTACTAGATTGGGAAAAGATCTTTTGTACACTGACTTCTCTTGGAATGTTTTTACACCAAGCAACGATAAAGAAAACAATACCTTAGACCACATAGATGTAGTAAGTAATTGGGATACAAAAGGGGAAAGAGGAGAAGTTTTGGGAGGAATGGAAGACTGAAAAACTGAGGAAATCTTTTCTGTTTCAGGCAATAAGCCTCAGTAACCAAGATTTGTAAATAGTAGTCCGCCTCTGTTTTAATGGACGACCTACAAACTTTGAGATCTATTTAATTTTAATCGTCAATGTTGTACTTTTTAATGTGTATCTCTTTCAAGTTTTTTAATATGTAATCACTTGTGCAATTCAGCCAACAATGCATATGGCTGCCAATCAATGTGAATAAACAGTATCAGTAAAGGAATGTTCTACAGGTACTTACCCCTCTCACCACTGTCTCCCCACCGTTTGAAGTACTCCTTAGTCTCCTGCTCTATCAGTGAGACGTGTGTGCGGAACCTCGCAATGTTCAGTCCTGTCTTGAACATTTTCTTCTGCTCAAGGAACACCTGAAGCATTACAATATGTGTATTAGACCAATAAAATGGAATGTACAAATTAAACGAGAGTCACAAAGTTGACATACTGCAAGGTTTGTTTCATACAGTCATTTAGTTTTTCATTATTTAATTTAGGCCTTCTAGGCCTATTAGATTTTATACTGCTGTACCAACATCGCACACATTGGTGAAAGTAAATATGAGACAAAACAAATTACTTTTAGTATACATGTATTGGGAAAGCCCCTTTGACTTCAATAATCCTGTCTAAAGGCCCAGAAGCTAACACACAGATAAAGGTAAAATAGTCTAGTCTAAAGAAAAGATCTTTACAAAAGTTTAAGTCCTTTCCGCACCACATGGTGCATAGAGGCAGCGCCCATCCCCGGTTCAGTAGCTCTTGGGCCACACAGTTGTGCAGTTACTACAGCAGGAGGCTAGTCCACTGGTAGTGGTCCATACTCTTTCCCAAATGCTGAGTGCTAAGCAGAGAAAGCAGTATGTACCATTTTTAAAGTCTTTGCTATGACTCTGCCGGGGATCAAACTCATGACCTCCCGAATGCAAGGCGAGCACTCTGCCCACATGGCCATTGCACCGTTTTTTAGTCTTACGACATATCTGATGTTAAATAGCTCTTACGGGATTTGGGACATCATATGCGACCCCCTTGCCGAAGACAGGCGTGGTAAGACGTGAGTACACCTCCTCGGCGTTCAAGTCCTCGTTCTTACTGTTGAACAGAGTCGCTGCCGCGTCAGAGCCTACCAGATACGTGAACTTCGACCCTGCCATAGTGATGGTAAAGACTGGGCCATACTAGAAAAGTGCAACAGAAAGAAACAATCTATAAATTTTAAACTGCAAATTGTAACAATGAAGAACCTACAAATTATATGCAAGTACATGTATGACTACAACTTACACCATCTGATTTTTTCCAAAGGAACTTTTTTGTATAGGAATTCTTTTTCAAAAGGAATGTGTACAATTACAGCATACATGTAACGTTACATAATGTTATATTTGTATGTGTGAAATTGAGGTGTAAAAGTTACCTTCTTGTAAGCCTCCTCAAGAAAGCCAATGGGGTTCTTGTAGAAGTTGTAACCATGGCCAAGTATTGGGATAGTATGCGGCACTTCAGGTGGGGACTTCTGAAACAGAAAATTTCGTGTTCAATACACACAACTTGGAAATAACTGAAACCCCTAAGATACAAGTAATGAAATGTCCCTTACCATCACATCTGCTTTACCCAAAGCTAGCAATCATAAATAATTCGCGACCATTTTGTTGCGTTATTTATCTTAATCTGACGAAAATTGCCTGTCCCATTTCTGCATAGCTAGAAAACCCCTCACTCAATAAATGAACTGTCCCCCTACCTCGTCTTTGCCGAGACTGCTGAAGAACTGCCGCCCGAAGTACGTGACACCCAGCAGAACAACAATCGTTGTCAGCGCGACGGTGCTAGAACCGAGCTCTTGTACTGTCTCAAACGCGTTCTCCAACAGCAGGTTACCCATTTCCACCAGCATAGCTGTCGAATTCCTCGTAAAATTCAGTTTCAGACGATTTCGGGACAGGTTTTCGCAGGTTTCTTCTCGAATTTACCTCCTGCCTGTTTACAACCGGATTGACCTGATGTAAATACGCAAAGGACAACGTTGCACGTTATTTCTCTGAAGGAATTTTGACTTGAAATCGCACAGCATGAGAAAAAATCCCACACTTTTGTATGTACTGAATTAATTCGACAGTTTTAGTGGACATAAACCTTAGTTCAGGTGATACATTGATGCGTATTACTTTCTGTAAATGTGACCCCGCGGATGAATATATACGCCTATTCACATGGTGCCGGGAATGGCGGCCGCTGATTGGTCAGACTTCCATCGCGCCAGAGTCAGCTCATCTTCTAGTTGACCTGTAGACTAAAAATGTGGAAAAAATGAAAAGTGGGTCAGCTGATCATCTCTACGTGACCACAGGCACATCGGTACTGACTAGACAAAGCAGGACATGGGAGACAGGTAAGCAACATTGGGACACTTTTATCGTAACACAGAGGCATCCAGTCTACATGAAGGAGCCTATAGGCATGATAGGTATTTAAGACATAACGTTACGTTATAAGACAAGATGGGCCAAGAGGTTAGCGACCGATACTGTATTCGTAACTAGTTATCGACATACCATGTGTGGTAGTTGGGTATATTTGTTTGTGCTACATTTCAGGACATTGCTTTGTAAGGTATACATTATTAAACACCACGTTTTGTCTACACACTAGTCCTTGAAAAAAAATACTCGCAACAAAAAAGAGTGAAGAGTAGATAGTCATACGAGCGAACGGTTATTGTTTACATCATATATATGACCCCATATATCAGATACATGCAAATTATTTCAAGACATATGTAAATCATCGGCAGGCAAATTAACAACTGTCACTAATCATAATTTTAGACAGTTATCTGTGCATTTTAGTTCTTCATACTCTATAAATTACTTCGTTTATTTTACCCGCGATCTCCTATTTGGTTGTTTTGATTTAACGTTACGTTTTATGGTGTGTTTTATTTCACAACGTTGACTTTCCCCCCTTTATTGACATCACTGTTTTTGTATTAATTGCCATATTTACATTGGGTTGGGCATTGGCGCCACTAACACCCAGGTTGGCAATATATTGTTACCACCTGATTAAGTACAATTAAACACAATGTTTGTAGTAACTCTTGCTTCTAGGCATAATGTCAGGCTAACATAATGAATTTTACTTCTTGTTGTAGTCATTGTATTCTTCCAACAATTTTTTTTTACAGAAAGGATGTTTGTTTTGCTTTTCGGTCAGATATGACGAAGTGGTGTGATTTGAAGAACAAATTTGTAGTTACAAAGATCCCCAGTGTGCGCGTGCGCGCATCATTAGACCTAACACGTCGGTTCACCTTGTAGTGCCAAGGACGTTATGATGACGTCATGACGAGCAACCCCTCCCTTTTACTTTGAACAAGCCCCGGTAAATAACCACACCCCACCAGCATGCTTTCTGAAACGTCCCTTGCACACACACTACCGTGACAAATCTAGCAAACGTATTTGATAACGCATCTCATCGTATAGCCTATTATGAAGATACATGTTACTGTATATTGTTCAACCTCTGTACGTCATCATAAAACAACGACTTCTGTGCACGTTTGCAGTTTTCAAGGTCATCTCGTCAAGTGTAATTAATGTATTCATTGTGTTTTCTAACTCGCAATACTTCTGAAGTGAAAAAAAATTGCTGGCAAATGAAACACTATTCGTGTTCTGTAGTTTTCCACAACCAATTTTACAATACGAGCTATCGCTGTTTTTATTTACATTATATATATACGTGTGTACGTGCAAATTGTTTAACGACATATCCAAATTATCGGCAGACGAATCACCCAACTGACACTTACTTTTTGCAAGGACTTACTTTTTGTGTTGAACGTCCTTGCTTTTTGCAAGGACATTATAAATGTCCTTGCTTTTTGCCTACCACTCTCTGGCCGTGACGTTGGCGATCGCTCGTATCCGGTACTAGCCTCCTTCGCAGACTTGTGGGGCGGCGGCGCGGGCGGCGAAAAACTCTCTCCCCGGCAAACTCCGTTGGCGGCAAAACCGTCCCTCCGCGGCATAACTCGCGTCGCACCCGGAAAAAAAATTAACGCCGCCGCCCCACAAGTCTGCGAAGGAGGCTAAAAATCCAAAACCCACACAAGCTCTTCTTCCTTTATTTTCTATTGATAATTAATTAATTAATTGATCAATTAACAGCGCGAGGAGGCGTGGCGGTCCTTACAAGACCGACCCGGCCACGGACCTGAGCCGGTGGCGGCTGAGTAACGTGGGAGGCCGGCAGACGTGGCGGTACTTCGGCGAGGGAGAGACGCCTGAACGCGAGCAGAACATGGTGGAGAGACACTCTCTAGGACTGGACACGGTAAATGAACGTTACAGTTACATTTACGTTGTATAGATTGAAAAATTCCAATGTCAGAGGTGCCAAAGAATGAATTTGTTGAACCAGGCGCAGGTCACGAAATTAGTATTTTTAAAGGATCGTATGTTTCCGAGCAATGGAAAAATTCATACTAGTATATGAATTCTTGGCACCCCTGAATGTGTACAAAATTAATAGAAATGTCTTTATTTTTTTATTTTTCATTATTTCTTCGTATTGCCATCAATGTTTATAATTGTGTCAAGTTAAAAATGTAATCATTTCCTGGTACATGTCAAGTTTCAAGTTCAAGTTTTATTAATAAAATCAGCCTTGCAGCCAGTGCACAACCAAGCTGAATAACACTGATTTTTTTACGATTTTGTCGATTTTGTACATAGTAAATAAATACAAATACAACTTAACATTACAATACATATACAGACAAGCAAACAAACACATTACAAAGCCACACATGGGCACTGAAGTAAAGTCCAGAGAGTCTTGAAAATCATTACTGCAAAGACTCGTTGTACAGGCATATTGCCTTGTGTAAGAAAGAGTTTTTCAGTCTTTTTGTATGTCTGCCTTACCTTGGGAATTTTCCTTCTTCTAGAGTACCTGCGCACCGCCTCTGCCTAAAGCCCGAACGGCCAGAGAGGCGGTGAGAAACGGGATGAAGTTCTACTCCCTCCTGCAGACGGAGGACGGCCACTGGGCAGGCGACTACGGAGGGCCGCTCTTCCTCATGCCTGGTACGCCCAGCAGCATCTCCTGTATGCTTTCCTTTCATTTTTGTGGTCCCTGCCAGTCGGAAGCGGCTGGAAGAGTAGAAATAAAGAGATAACATGCCAAGGGAGTTACTTAAAGTAGCGATAGCTTTTCACCATTTTAAACATCGTTGTCATATTATAAGCCTACCTGGGGTTGTAATGACGTTTGGGTAGTAAAAGACCAACGTCGTTGCGCTGCAAAAAAGGTGGCGAAGCTACCCGAATGAAAACCGCTGTTGTTGTTTTTTAAATTTTTTTTAGGGGCCTCCTAAAAATACAGAGGGCCTGGCGCAACTTTCTCGCACTGCGCTGAGTTGCTGGAAAAGCGAAATAGCGAAGCAAAGATGTTGAAAGTTGTTCAAAATCACAATCTAGATGAGAAAATTATTAGTATTTAAATTTACAGTTTTGGCGCAAAAATCTTGCATAATATCGCCAACTCCCCTGGTATGTTATCCGTCTATTTGGCCAATTTCTACTCTTTCCAGTCGCTTTCAAAGCCTGGTAGAGGCTACCATTTTTGCCGTTCGGTCTGAAAGTCTAGAACATGTTTTTCTTGTATCTCCTTTTTTCAGGTTTAGTGATCGTGTGTCACGTGACGAAGGCCCGCCTATCAGAGCCACAGAGACAGGAGATGATCCGGTACCTCCGGTCTGTACAGCTACCGGACGGTGGATGGGGCCTGTAAGATGTCCTACATTCTTCTTCAAGCTGCTGTCACACATCTACCTTTCGTTACCATGCAATCGAATCCAATTTGAGTTAAATTTGAGTCAAATTTCACTGTCAACCACATCCCGACCTGCTCCCGGACACCATCCAACACCTAAAATGTATTAAACATTTTGAAACATTGAAATATATGTACATTGTATATGGTTGGCGCAACCACACAGTAGCCAACCTGGCCGAACACCTATCGACTTTGTGTCGACCTTCTCCTTACCAATTGAGTCCCGGCCATGTTCGGCTATGTGCCTCTGCCTGGGGCTTTACTGGTACACATGTGTCATGTATCACGATCTTAGTACCGATAGGCAGCCCTTCTTGAGTCTGATGTTTACTGTATTTTATTCACTGACATTTACACAACTCATTATAAGTGATTACCTGAAACCTCATATTGTTCCCGCCAGACACATCGAAGACCATTCCACTGTATTCGGCACTGCGCTGAACTACGTCACGCTAAGGCTGCTGGGAGTTCCTGCAGACGATAAAGACGCCGTGCGGGCTCGCAACTGCCTCCACGCTAAAGGTCCGCTGGTCCACATGAAATATGAATTTCTCTTCGAAGTATATGTGCTACTAATGCAGAGGAAATTCAAGTTTGCTTTTTATGATTTCACCACTTTTCCTCCCATAAGAATATGATTCGTTAAAGAAAATATCAAGCGGGCGTTGCAAACAGAAACATTCATTTCAAGTCACTCTCACGTCATTCGGAAAATTGAACATTCAAATATGTAAATACTAGAAAGAAAAAGAACAGTAGTAGTATACTACAGGCTTGTATATGTGGATAAGATACTTTTGTAGTGTATGAAATAAACTGTTGCAAAGATCGTGTGTAATTAATTAAGAGCCGTTTGTAATAATACTCATGACCTACAGGTGGCGCTGTCGGCATCCCATCCTGGGGGAAGTTCTGGCTCGCAGTTCTGGGTGTCTACAGCTGGGACGGCCTGAACTCTCTCTTTCCTGAAATGTGGTAGGTCTTCTCTCCATAGCTACATTCCTTAAAATTTATGTGTCAAAAAGTCCTATAGACATCATAGAGAGAGAATTTTGTGTCACTACAAGAGAACCATTATGATAGAAGTTAGCTAGGTGTAGCCTCCTTCGCAGACTTGTTGGGCGGCGGCGTTATTTTTTTTCGGGGAGCAACGGGAGTTATGCCGCGGAGGGACGGTTTTGCCGCCGAGGGAGTTTGCCG